GCAGCCTCGACCCGCTGGGCTCCGGCGATCCTTCCTCCTCAGCCTTCCGAGTAGCCGGAACTACAGGTGCGCCCTACCACGCCCGGCTCATTTTTGATTTATTGTAGAGATGAGGTCTCGTCAAGTTGCCCAGACGGGTCTCAAACCTGCGGGCTCAGGCCATCCACTCACCTCAGCCTCCCAAGGATTTTATCTGGCTGGCAGGAATGTTCAAGGGAAGAAAGCCATCTGCTGCTTCATGGCAGAACAAGAGGACAGTGAAAAGCTCGGCCTCCCCCTCCACTCAGTGTAGACAAAGAACATAGGCAGTTCTGCCCGGGGACCAAGCAGGGGACTCTGGCCCCTGGAGCGGCCCCTGCGGGCCTGGGCAGGCTCTCACTGAATGGGTCTCTGGCCGATTCCCCCTTTCCCAGCGTTCATCATCCCGCCAGCCCGCCGGCCTCAGATGGGGCCGATCCCCCTCCCCAGTGAGTTCCTGGCCTCCACAGACATCAAAAGCAACCGAGTCGCCACCTGAGCAGCATGGCTCCTCTCCCCTGTCTCTCACCTCCGGAAAGAAATAGGATTTCAAAGGCCGCTGTCTCTCGGATCAGCAGGCCAGAGGTTGTCAGAGCTTCTCAGATCTCTCCTGGGACCTGCCCTCCCCTTTGATCCCATCTGGCTCTGTGGTGTAGCCGCTGCAGAGAGGCAGTAGGGGCTGGGGAAGCCCCACAGCCCGCCAGGGACTGGGACCTGAAGTGCTCACCAGGCCAGGCAGCCATGAGCGAACTGGGATGCAGCCCAATTCAGTGCCCCGAAGCTGGGCAGGGTGGGTGCAGGGTCCTGGGGGGTGGGGGGAACAGCGCTGGGCGCTGGGTAGGGGTTGGCCTGGGGCTCCCTTTTGAGCCAGGCTAGTAAGAACAGGAGAATAGCCGGGCTCGGTGGCTCAGCCTGTAATCCCGCGCCTTGGGAGGCTGAGGTGAGTGGACGGCCTGAGCCCGCGGGTTCGAGACCCGCCTGGCCAACTTGGCGAGACCTCATCTCGACAATAAATAAAAAAATTAGCCGGGCGTGGTAGCGCGCACCTGTAGTCCCTGCTACTCGGAAGGCAGAAGGATTGCCGGAGCCCAGCAGGTCGAGGCTGCGGTGGCCAGGGGCGGCCACTGCACTCCAGTCTGGGGGACAGAGTGAGACTCCGACTCAAAAAAAAAAAAAAGAACAGGAGAATGTGTTTTGTCCTACAAGCAGCAGGAAGCTAGGCACCAAACATTTGGAAAAGCCTTCAGGGTGTTTAGGGTTGGAGTCAGCTGAGCAAAGCTGCTTGATCCCCCCACCTTCCCACCCAGATGCCCAAATGACAACAAATCCATGACCCGCACAACCCTTGGCCCCTCCCAGCCACTGCCTGAAGGCAGAGCAGACTGAAGTCGGTCACCAAGACCCACTGGGGCCTCATTCTCAAGCTGAGACTGTCCACATGCCCCTCCCTTGGAATGTGCATTCTTTTCCTAAAGACAGCACACCTCTGGAGGCCGGCTGCTTCCACTTCCCTTTATGTGTGGCTTTTCCTCTCAATAAACTCTTCACTTTGCTCAATAACAGGGTGACTTGCTCTGAAGTTCTTTCTTGCAGCAAAGTCAAGAACCCAAGCAGGGCCAGGCACCATGGCTCCCATCTGTAATCTCAGCACTTTGGGAGGCTGAGGCGGAAGGATTGCCTGAGTCCAGCAGGTCAAATCTGTGGTGGCCATGACCCATGCCACTGCCCTCCAGCCTCGGCAATAGAGTAAGACTCTGACTCTAAAAAAAAAAAAAAAAACAAAGGTAAAAAAAAGAGAGAAAAAGAAACAGGAATGTAGCACTGACACAGGCTACAACACGCGTGAACCTTGGAAGCATCACGCGAGGCTCCAGAGGCCACATATTGTATGACTCCATTTCTAAGAGATGTCCAGAATCGGCAAATCTATAGAGACAGAAAGTGATACGTGTTTCAGACAGGGGGAGTTGATTGCATCGTGGGGATGGGGTTTCCCCTTGGAGTGAGGAAAATGCTCTGAAATTGACTACAGTGAGGGTGGCACATATCTGTGAAGATAAGTCATGGAATTGCACGCTTTGCATGACTGAGTTCATCGTATCTCAGTAAAGCTGTTCTTAAAAAAAAGGCAAATGAAACTGGTCACTGGGGCTCGGTCAGTATCACTTGAATCCACATTAAATTAAAACACAAAGAATAGTGCCTTGACGTAGACTCAAGATCCTGGGCCCGAGGGTGTCAGGTGGGTGTAATCTCAGATGTGGCCCACTCTGAACCTCGGATTCACAGGATAACCGTTGGGAGCTACCATCATTAATGAGACGATCGGCCCAGATCCACTGGTGGGGTGATCCATTTTCCCAGAATGGTCACGACTCGTGCCTGTGACCTGGCACCATTCACAAAAGGATCCCCGTTCACTCCCAGAAGTAGCTCAGTGGGGTGGGTGGTTCTTTGAAAACAGGGGCAGCCCCTTCAGGTACCCCCCTGACTGTGGGAGCTTTTCTGTCCTCTCAATAAATCCTGCTTTCTCAAAAAAAAAAAAGCAAAGAAAGAAAAGAAAACAGCTCCCCCCATACAGAGTACAAACCCTTCTCCTTGGACTGTCCACAGTA